ACGCAATAGCTCGAAATCATCTCATCTTTAATTTAGGGAAAGCAGTGACCGTTAACGGGATGCCAGTGACTCTACCCAAGACCTACAGCGGGAGTGGTCTGACTTTGGAAAAAGTGGGCATGTTTGTGTCACTTTCCTCCAGACTTGGGGTCACTCTGCTGTGGGATGGAGGTAGGATTCGCGCACCAAGTCTGAAATCTCATGCTTCAGCATGGCTTCACTATGTATACGGATTACGGTGGATACGTATTTTTATTTAATTTTTTGTTAGATATGGAAGTGAAACAACAAATGAAGTGCACATTTCTTGCAGGTATGCGTGTGTACGTGCGCCTGGCCGCACACTTGAGGGGAAACGTTGGAGGCCTGTGCGGTAACTTCGATGGGGACACGGAGAATGACTTCACCACACGACAAGGCATCGTGGAGTCCACCGCTGAGCTGTTTGGGAATTCTTGGAAGGTCAGCCCATCCTGCCCCGATGTAGCAGACCAAGATCTTCGAGACCCCTGCTCGGTGAGTCACGCTCAGAGCCGCCAATGTGTGCGCTCCGGCTCATCCGTGACCCTCGACAGGAAAAATGATGACTGGATTGATCGTACAGGCAGTTGATGTCACTTTGAAACAAAATCGATGCGCAGGTTAACTCGCACAGAGTACCGTGGGCCAGGAAAAGATGTGGCATTTTGACTCAGGAGCTCTTCTCTCCATGCCACCTTGAAGTGCCCTTCCAGCAGTATTATGACTGGTGTGTCTTTGATGCGTGTGGGTGAGTAGCCATCAACACGAGCTGTCTTGGTGCTCTCCATATTTTCTTCGGTGCATTCATTTTCCCCTCCTTTCACTTTCAGCTGTGACTCCGGTGGGGACTGTGAGTGCTTGTGCACAGCCATCGCCACTTATGCCGAAGAGTGTAACCGCAGGGGGGTGTACATTCGCTGGAGGTCCCAGGAGCTCTGTCGTATGTTAGACAAAATACGACATTTGTCTACATTCCAGGAGACTGTAACTACATTTCTCTCCTTGGTTGTGTTTTTGCCAAAGCCCTGCAATGCGAAAATGGACTTGTTTATGACCCGTGCGGTCCGGCTTGCTCCCCTTCATGTCCCAATGTGCATCAGAGTCCTCACTCCCAATGTGACGTCCTTTCCTGTGTGGAGGGCTGCTTCTGCCCCGCTGGTACTGTTCGATACGGTAAGATATATCAAACTAGAATGCTTGTAATGGTCGCCTAAAAGACAGTGTATTCATAAATCTTCATGTATTGTATTGTATGGTGTTGTGTAAAAACACTAACACCATAAAGTTCAACAAGAGGATAGTCATGATCAGTTTTTTTTATTCGGTAGGGGATAGCTGTGAAGTTCCTACCCAGTGTCCATGTGAGTGGAAGGGGTCCATGTTTCCTCCTGGAACTACAATCACTCAACACTGCCAGAACTG